AAAATCTCCGAAATGATTTTTCTGCACTTGATTTATTTAAAACATACCTGCATGTAGCAGTTGGTTCATGGTACGGTTCGCGGATCCACAGAGGACTTTGGGAGATGATAAGAAACAACTTTGTAGTTTTGAGTAGAAATATACTTAGCAGTTTTACACATATCACCAGTGGTTTTTTATTACAATTCATACAAGTAGAAATATACTTAGCATTATTCGCGTCGCGGTAAATATTGCTACAATTTTGGTGAGACCACGGGCAAAGTAACAAGTTTCTTTCAAATTTCTGCCCGATGACCGCATTCACGGTCGCACTTATATATCTCAATTTTCGCAGCAATCTTGGCCCTTCCGCGTTGGCCCGTCAGCATTCCGTTTATCCGACGAGGCCAGCGCAACCGTGATCTTGCGTCCGCGATTCTACTGTTTATACGGGGTCTTCTTTTATATTAATTATATTTAATAAATTCGTTTCGGCAATATCTCGGTTTAACTTTTGATTGTTGATATTTTCTGACGCAATTGTGTCACTTGTGCAATTAACACTCGTGACAATTGATGAGGAGAACAAACCATAGCGACTCACCTATAGGTACCTATAGGATGAATCGATTATCTTTTAGAATTAAAACAGCTCCAAGCGAATTCCATAGGAAACCAAGTATTAAGTGATATCGAAGGTATCACTATCTATTTCGACGATATCATTGTAATTGGATCAATATACACAGAATGCAAGCATCGGCTTATTACTTGCCTGGACTCAGGAAATATAACTTACATTTGAATAAGAAGAAATATCGACTTTTCCGAGCAGAAAATTTCTTATTTAGGATTTGTCATAAAAGAAAATAAAATCTCTAAATGTCCAAGATTGAAGCAATTCTGGAAGTACTTAAATTTAAAAATACCGAAGATGTGAAGAAGGACTAATTCCTAGGATTAATTACGTACTATTCTAGGTTTATTCTAAATATATCAACAATTACATACTCAATCCGGGAATTACTGCAAAAAAAAAAGAGATTTCATTGATTATCCAACTGCGAGGCAGCATTTATCAAACTAAAAGAAGAAATTATCAGCGATCGCATGCTAATGCTGTACGATCCATCTCTTCCAGTCACAGTAACATGTGACTAGTCCAACAGGAATCGCAGAAGTGCTATCATATCGTTGATGGCACTGAAAAATCGGCTTTTGTGTCGTGTTCTTTTACTTCGGCCGAACTTACAGCCAATTTGACAGGGAGGCAGTTGCTATTATTTTTTCAATCCAGAAATTTCACCGATATGTAAATGTGGATCATGCACACTAATTTCGTATAATCGTCCTCTAACCAGAATCTTCCAAATTGGACATGATACCAAATTTCTTACTATTACTTCTGCACAATTACTACGCTACGCAACATTTCTAAGCAACTTCAATTATAAAGTAGAGCATTGTAAAGCTGAAGATCATTGCAATGTGGATTACGTCACGCGCGCCATTGAAAAGCAATCCAACTATACAAGACGAAGGGTGTTTACAACGAATCGTCATTTCCAATCCGACCGACCAGTGGTACTCATTGATGCATTTCAAAAAATTTTCTAACCTAATCAGATTTTGATAGTTGTCTCAGAAGTAATCGGATCAGATCGAATAGATTATGAAAAGTGCAATGCGCACGAATTTGCGAAGTCCTACCCCACCCGCCGTATTCTCCAGACGTTGCTACCTCTAACTATCACTTGTTTCGAGCAATGGCACACGGCCTGGCTGACCAGCACTTCCAGTCTTATGAAGAAGTAAAAAATTGGATCGCTTCGTGGATCGCCTCAAAAGATGACCAGTTTTTTCGACGCGGGATTCGTACGCTGCCCGAAAGATGGAAGAAAGTAGTGGCCAGCGATGGACAATACTTTGAATCATAAATGTATAACCAGTTTTTTTACAATAAAGCCTCGAAGCTTTCGGAAAAAAAACGGCGGAAGCAAAGTTGTACACCTAATATATAAAATTTGTTTATTTACTAGATCTACATTAATCGTTAGTTAACAATAAGAATATCTAGCGTAAATTTATATTTATTTGTAACTAATTTATCTTTTTGTTTTCATATATGTGTATGACGATCAATTTATTCGTAGTAATGGCATAAATATGAATTCGTCTTATAATTTTATAATGAATTTAAAAAAACCTACGAATATCTTTATACTGTACTGTATTCTTAATTGTACTGTATTCTTAAATCAAAATTATAAGTATAATAAGTACAACGAGCATAATTATTTTGGACATGTATCAATAAAAATCAATATAGTTTTGTAACGATTATTTCTATCTATTTCAGTAATAAATCAGAGCTCGTTTTGAAACCTCGAGTTCATTTAAAATATTTTTATGTTTTTTTTTATCTTAGCTTTCCATAAGATCGCACAGGTTCATTCTCAGATTAAAAGGATTCAGTTAAGTTCCTTAACCTAAATATAAAGGACCGACGAACGCATAGTCTCAATAGGTGTTATAACTATCATAGGTTCCGTCGATTCATATTTGAGATTTACGTAGGTGCGTTCAATTCGCGGCACACATTTCCACACGTTAATCCACGAGCAAAGTGCTCCCTCATGTCTCCTCCTTAATTTTAAGAAAGCCTGAGAAATAAAAGAATCCTGAGGTTTGGACGTAACACTTTATTCGAGTTGTATTCTGCAATAAATAGAACAAGAAGTAATCTTATGATATAATATCATAATAACATAAAGAGATGCAACAGAAGATTCGAATTTAGTTTCCTGAGTTTATGCTGGGTCTGCATCGAAGTGTGAAATCTGGTACTGTCATGATGAAAAACAATGTTCTTCCCAATATTCAAAATCAAACGCTTCTCCTGAATTACAATCTTTATTATATGTATAACTCAATTGTTGGCAATACCTACTTATCGGAATCAATTATTTTGCTCAATAAGAAACAGTTTAGAAGAAAATTACTTTCTTAGAATCCTAGCAGTTAACTTTTGAGAATATAAAACAGTTTTGGGTAGAGATGCATTAGATCATAAGATTATCGGATATCGGATATCCGGTTGATTATCCGATAGGGTAATCAGACCGGATATTTTTCCGGATATCTAGTACAAATTTTTTAAAATTCTAAAAAAAAGAATAGCAAGGAAAAATAGCAATAGTAATTTTCTTTATCTCTTTAACGTAAAAAGAAAAAGAGGAAAATTGAACTGTGCAAGAATTTCAGCTAAAAGAATAGAATTCTGCATCAATAACGTAAACTTTCAATAAAATTTCAGTCGGATATATATTGCTATATATTGATGATATCCGGTTATCTGATCGGATAGTAAAAAAAATATCGAATACCAAATATTTTTCGAATATCCCGTGCATCTCTAGTTTTGGACATAGATTTTTAAGCCTATTTTCTCCTCTCCAAATTGGTTTACCTCGAATATTGTTGTATAGCCATTTTTTTATCGCTACACTATAATCGATCCAGAAATGGATCGTTAACCAATTGATTAACCAGCGAATTTATAAAAAGATTCGATTACATAAATCAATTGATCGAAATATTCTGTTTAGTTTGTATGCAAATTATACTTTACTTAGTATCTGTTAGTATCCACTAAATTGCGTATAACGTCATTTCGGAAATTGACCGTATTACTTGTTTCATTGGTAAATAAAAGTTATCAAGTCAAAATTGTGCAAGTCTCTTTACAGTGTGTATGCTCGGCCCACGATGATAAAATTTGATAATTTTTTTACATAATAATTTTAACCGATGTTTCTTTTTCAAACTTATAAAGTATATCAAAAATAAATCTTTTCAACATTTTCTATACTTTTTCTCACGTCTCAATTAAAACATAAATCTAAATCTCATCAATTCCACGTTCAAATGCTGAGAATGTTACTTTTTAAATGATAACATTTATTGAAATCAGACACGACCTTTTGCGCATGCATATCCAATACAATTTAATATAAATATGAATATAAATATAAAAAAAAATAAATATGTATATGTCAATAAAAACACATTGTCGTAATTTTGCAAATGCAAAAGCTTCGATAAAAATGTAAGAGAGTGATAAATAATTTATTAATACAAAAATTTAAAAAGAACGCCATAATTAATTTATTAAATAAATTTATTAAATAAATTAATTTATTAAATAAAAATAACTAAATCAGAAAATCTTAAATAACAAAAGTAGCACTATTATGACATTTATTATTGCATAAATTAAATTATTATAGTTCGTTGAATTAATATCATTCATATTAATGATAATAAATTTGACACTCAACAAAATATCTAATATATATATAATAACGCAACTAGAATGATATACGCACAAAGCAACAATCATAGAGACTGGCGTAAGTTATATGCAACATGAAACATGAATGTAGATCACATAAAATATGAACATCTAATATTACAGCGAACAATACTGAATGAGAGACACATGATCATTAGATAATAATTGATATATATTCATGCAATATAAATGTAATGACAGCATGATGTAACAACGATCTGTTTTAATTTTTATACCTTACTTGTTTATCTGCCATCGTAAGCATTTCGACAGGATATTCACATTTATAATAAATTTGTGTTTTATACATATATATATATATATATATATATATATTTTTTTTTTTTTTAAGTAAAATAAATTAATCCCTTAAGGGAATATCAATTTCTTAATTATTTAAATTACAGATCGGAAAATACGTCGGAAAATAGAAATGAGATCTACATGATCTCGAATGATATTATTCTTTCGAAAAAATGAATACGAAGAATTAGGATATACGTGACAACATAAATACTAAAATAATATCACAAGGAAAATGTAAAACATTAATTTGCAATTTTTTAAATCGAGATCAAATATGTTAAAGCATAGGACAAAATACAAGTAAATTAAAGAAGGTAAATGATAAGAAATAAAAGAAACAGATGTTATAATTACTCACGTTGGGATCTTCTCTAATGGTATCCATTGAGATTGACGGCGGGGTTGACATTCCAGATGATACATTGCGCAGCATGGACTCATTGTTTGCATTCGAATCATGAAAAGAAACTCTTTTCATAGATGCTGACTGTTGAGAAGTAGGAGGTAGATTAGATGTGGTCGAGCCGTTTGATCTGAGAGCACTTTGCTGTGACATAACGGCGTAACTAGAACCTCGTTCTGGTGGTGGGGGTGCATCATTTACATTGTTTTGTGAAGCTATAATAAATACCATAAATACTATATAAATCGAATTATGTAATCATGTAATTATCTAAAACATATAATTAAAATATATTGTATTTGTAAATTGATCCTTTCGTTGATAGGAAAAATATTTTGAGACAATTTCTCTTTAAAAAAATATGAGAATATAAAAGACTCGAAGTTCAATGTTCAATAAAACTTTTGAAAATAGCTTCAATTTACTAACATGTAGATATATTAGGACCATTAATAATCAAATTGTCTAAGCGCAACATGCCAGGGTGTAGCTGACTGCGCGGATGTTGATTTGATTGATATGTTTGTTGTTCTTCTTGTTTTTTCGGGTTTTCCTCATATCCAGCTTGCTTCCGCTTCACTTCATCTATTTTCCGTTGCAGTTCCCTATCTTCGGAATGCGACATACCCATGGAATAAGACTTCTGACCAGAACTAAAATGGCTATGTGTGCCATAATTAGTTGGCGACACATGCTCTTCATTTTGACCCGCCGTTTGTTGTTGCTGCTGATTTGGTTGTACGTGCAAGCTATTATTTTCTTGACCAGGATTGCTCATTTCGACATTTTGAGACGCTGTTTGATTGGGCAGAATGTGAACGTGGCTGGTAACAGATTGGCTGCTCAGGAGAGGCAAACCACCTCTCATAGACTGGTTGCCTGTAATTGTTCTCGATAAAGTCGGTGGCTGCAGAGCTCCTTGGACTGCTCTGTCTTGATTGGCTGCCATCCTTAACAAGCCTTGAACGCGTTGCACACTCTCGTTGTCTAAATCGTTGCTCTCTTCATCATCGTCTTGATTGGCAATCTCCTCCGCACGCTTCTGAAAATCTCTTTCCAGTTGAAGAGCTCGCAGTTGCTCCTCCTGCTGCTGAGTTCGATGTGTCAGCGCGCTTAGTTCAGCAATCTGCTGATCTCGCCATTGACGAGCGGCTTCTCTTCTACGAGCTTGTTCCTAAAGATACCAATATCAAACACATGTTTCTTAAAGAGAAATATAATAAAATTGCAAATTCCAGAAAATTTTTAAAACTCTTAATTACACAACAATTATCGAGAGAACAAAAACTTCAAAAAATATAAACAAATGAATCTAAAGTAAAAGTTATCTAACTAAAAGTATTCTAACGAGACTTATCGCTCTCATTTCATTCATTATTCCTTTATTATAATTACCTTCTCTCTTTCTTCGCGTTGCCAAGGATTCGTCGCGCTATATTGATACTGACGCGGTTGCTGCATGGCACTGATTCCTCCCACAGGATAATAACTACCTCGTGGTGGATCCTGCATGCTTGCGGTATATCTACAAAGTTTTCTTTCATTATTTAGAGCCTCTTTCACCAACTTATGATTAAATTAATCAACGATCATCTCACAGAAATGTCAACAGCAATTTAATATATCAGAACATTTCTCCTCTCTCTTCCTCTTCCAATATAAACTGTGTTTAGTTCTCACGTTGGCAATCGTGATGATTGATCGATTACATTAGTGTTAATCGAAGTTGGTGGAAGGAACTTTGATCACACTAATGGCCATGGCACACAAAAAACTTAAGGCAGTAAGACGTAAGCAGTAAGGGAATCAACATGTTAGATTAGCTACTACTTACGTTATGGACTTACGGACTTTACTGTGATTGGTCAATTTGTTTACTGCTTACGTTTTACTGCTTAAGTTTTTTGTCGGGGTGCTCGCCCTGCTGACGGAAGAGCTTCAATAAATCCTGAGAAATGCTATTTATTCCTGCCCAGTCCGATGTCGCCATGCCTCCTGGATAACGCTAAGACATACAAGGGTGAAAAGGAGAATTCCTGACGTCTTAAAATTGGGACTGGTCATCTAAGGAAGACAACCCCGACAGAAAAACATCAGTACACCAGGATCGCTGGCAGCCAAGCAATGGAAAAAACATATTCGAGAGAAACTACCCCAGGTGGCAACCTAATTATACTGAAAAATCCACTCTCTACGGAGGCCCTACGGATTCTCGGGAGGGCCAACTATTGCTTATCTTTTTAAAAAAAAGCATCAAGACACCGAGGTCACCATAAAAAAAAAGTAGAAACTCCTAATGATAGAATCCACATTGCAAAACCTCAAGAAAAACTTGTCTTAATATCTGATCGTATAAAATTTAACCACACTCGTTCTCCTTTAACGGAACTCAAAAAATCTCTCAAGTTGAATAAAAGCCACCAACGTTGATTCTTCTACTTTTATTAAAACATAAAAAAAATCACCCCGGTGAGGAACAACAGGACTCATAAGTTCAAGTTACTTTTAAGAAAAGACTTAGAGACAGTCCTTCGTTGCCAAAGGTTATAAACAAACCAAAATAGATATATATTGATTGGGCGATCAAGTTCAAACATCAAATCATTTTCAAAATCTTGATAACGAAAAACATACTTCGGAAACTGTTTCTGTCCAATCGGAGAAACAAATCAAACTTCCTCCAATCGTAGACGACGGGAATATTAATAATATTCAACTGCTTATTGAAATTCTGAATAAAACCGTTCCCCAGGGTTATGTGATCAAAGTCACGTATCAAGTAAAGCTCCAAATCTACAAAACCTATATCATGATAATTAAAGAACTTAAACAATGCAATACCAAGTTTTATATATATAAACCAAAACATGAGCGAACTTCAGAGTGGTTCTCATGTATCCGTCGACAAATTCTGTTGAAATTAAAGAGACCATTGAGCAACTGGGCCATAGTGTTTCCAATATCTGGAACATTAAACAAAGGGTATCCAAGAAATCCCTACCGATATTTTTCATTGACTTAAAATCTAACACAAATAATAAAGAAATATACAAAACTCAGTACCTGCTGCAGTGTCGAATGGTATTTGAAGCACCTCTACCCAGAAAAGAAATATATACCGCAGTGCGCAAATTGCCAACAGTATGGTCACACATACAAATTTTGCCACCTTAGGCTAAGATGTGTAAAGTGCACAGGAGAACATCAAATTAGGAACTGCCTGAGAAAGGAGAGCTCAGACAGTGTTACCTGTGTTCTATGCAACCGCGAACTACAAGGACTGTACTGTCTACAAACAACTCCAGAAAAGCAAAATTATAAATCTTAGACCGAAAGTAATTCCAACCTTCATCTCTGACCAATCTGCACGGATTCCGGTAACGAGTAAAGACATGTCTACAAAAGCAACTTATTCAGGTAGTGCAACAACCATCTACTCAAGAATTCTTAGATAGCGATAGCATTAAACAACTACAACGTTCAGATAAAAGTCACAATGTACTCATCGAAATGTTAACACAACTGATGCATCAAATAATAAAAATGTCAAAAACATTGAACAATCTCATAGCCAAAATATTGCTGCTTGCGATAAATTAAATATCGCAGTATGGAATGTCAATGGCTTACTACAACATTCTGATGAATTAAAAATATTTCTAAAAGCACATAACATTGACATTATGTTGATATCAAAAACATACTTCACAAATAGAAGCTTCATGAAAATACCTGAGTTTAAATTATACCATACCAACTATCCCGACGAGTCAGCCCATGGAGGTACAGTGATTCTCATTAGAGAAAATATAAAACATCATGAAACCAATTCTTTCCGTGCGAACTCTCTCTAGGCTACGAATATCGTGATCGAAGACTGGTCAGGTCCCATAATCCTTTCTGCCGTATACTGCCCACCTAGGCACTCGATAAAAAAAGAAATAATTCATAAAATTCTTTACTGGCCTGAGGCATCGTTTCATCACGGCAAGAGATTATAACGCTAAGAATGTTCACTGGAGCTCTAGATTCACTTTACCCAGAGATCGTGAACTAATGCAAGTTATTGACAATCTCACATGTATGCAATCACAACCAAAGAACCAACTTACTGACCATCTGATTCAAATAATATCGATTTTATCGACTTCGATATTGTAAAAGGTATATCAAAACTTTACATAAAATGCAAATCGTGCTTGAAACTATTATCGGACACTCTCTAGTCCTAATTACTCTCAATAGTCAGATTGTAGTCTCCGAAAAACGTTAAGATTACATAAACAGTAAAACTAATTGGAATAGTTTCCGTGAAACTATTAAGTCCGCTCTTAACGCTTAGAACGGACGATATCACGGAGACTGTTGAACACTTTAACAATTGTATCCAACAAGCAGCGTGGAAATCAACACCATTAAACCAAAACACGTATTCGCCTGTGCCTGACTGTAGCCGGTACATTAGAGAAAAAATTGATAAGAAACGTAAGCAGTGGCAACAAAACAGATGTCCTGCCACCAAAAGTTGCCTTAACCGTGCAATCAAAAAACTGAAAATTCTACTACAAAACGCGAAAAATGTATTCAACGCTATCTAAGTAATTTGAACGCCACAAAACTTCAGATTATTCTTTATGTAAAGTCACCAAAAGGCTAAAGCATCCTCCAACCATCTCCCCACCCATACGTACGTATGACAATACTTGGGCCAGGAGCAATGTAGAAAAAGCCGAAGCCTTTATCAAACATTCCTCGACTGTATTTACATCTATCAAATAAATGCGTGCCTACTGAGGTCATAAATATTGAAGAGATTTGTTTGGTTTAGGACTTCTTTAAGGGTCGAGTTGCCCTCTAATTAGTAAATTTACTAAACATGAAGTGCTGAATATAATAAAAAATCTAAACCCAAACAAGGCGCCCGGATATGATCTTATTACTGGGAAGTTGCTAAAAGAGCTTCCCACCGAGGGTGTTATTTATCTCACGCAACTGTATAACGCCATACTTTGAAGGGGCTATGTTCCACCTCAATGGAAAGTAGTCGAGGTTATCGTGATCCAAAAACCTGGTAAACCAGCGGAGGATGTGAAGTCATATCGTCATTAGCTACTACCTGTACCTTCTAAAATTATTAAATGTCACTCCTATGGACAAATCGCAATAAAAATATTATACTACATATATTATAATACAAAAAAAAAAGTTTTTTGTATGCCATGGCCCTAAGGCTGCGTTCTAAGGCTTAACGCTCGCTATACTCATGAGCATCGTTTGTCTTTGTTTAACATTTGGATAAACGATAAAGATGAAATGATTCCACGAGCGTTGTGAACGTTAAATGGAATGCAGCCTAAATCACGTAACCAATAAATAACCTCTAAATTCATTAATATGCGTACCTCGTATCGGCTTGCTTATACAGAGGGTGCGTCGAAGTGCTGGGCGGTGGCGGCGGCGGACTTTCGCTAAATGTATCCTCAGATGGCAAAGCCGGTCTCGTTGGCGGCACTTCTGTAGAGTGGCCATCTCCATTTTGCGCACGATTGACGTTGTCATTCTCATATTGATCAACGCGGTGTTCTAGATTACCATTCGGATAATGCGGATTATTCTGTGAACTCGCGAAATGTCGGTTCTGTTCGGCGTATGACTTTGCTTCTTGGCTGCTCGAGTCTCTGCCGAGTAGATTTTCATTGGGCATCGGCTGATAGTCGCGCGCGATCGTCTCGTTTTTCGGTTTGGGCATCATCATCGGACCATATTGACTTCCGATTACTGGATATCGGTTAGGATACTGATTATATTGACCATACTGCGTGCTGTTATATTGAGCATATTGGGCATCCAGGTAATTGTAACTAGGCGCGTTTTGTCTCGCCATGTAGTTGGAGGTTCCTGGGAGATTCGACGTGGAACCGAGTGGCCTTGGTAAACGCAAGTTCGACACTTGAGCAGGAGGAACCGCCATTCGAGTACTGATGTTGTACATTGGCGGTCTATGTTGATTGAGTAACGGTACGCCGCCACGCAATTCTCGTCGGCGAACTTCCTCCTGCATCTCCTGCATCTTCGCCTCTTGGCGGATAATGTCGCGCGAAGACTGGGAACGTGGTGGTGGACCACCAGTTTGTTGCTGCATTTGATTGCTGACCGCCGAGTAGCTCTGCTGTTGGCCTTGGGTAATGTAAGCGGATGTCGGACGGTCTCGGAAATGACTGCCAACTTCCATAGTAGAGGGACGGTTCAATGAGTTCTGTGAACCCTTTAATGAACCCTTTTGGATGTGCTGAGGATTTCTGCTAGACATAGCAATTAATTTAAAAAGTATTCAAAATAGAATAGTTTTAAAAAATTATAAGATTACGTTCTAAATTAATTTATAAGCACATTTTTATTTTAAATGTCAAATAATGATTAAACGCTAAGTGTGATATAAAAAAAGTGCTTATATAAAAATAGGAAAATATAAGGTTAAACTATATATCTATACCTATCTTCTGACTGTTGTGAACTGATTTGTTGCTTCATCGTCGAATCTTGGTTTCGATAAATACTCAGATTCTGATAAAATCGCTCTGCTTCTGTGCCCTGTACATTCGACGGTGTATTCATGTGCGACGTGCTTGGATTTAAATTGGGCGACGATTGCTGCCTGCTGACTAAGCCAGTGGACGGTAAAGTTCCGATTCTCATGGGATCATGCAAGTTATGACTCGACCTATATACACAAGAATATATCTTGTAAACATATCATTTCTCGTAATTTAACAGAATATACAATTTACAATAACATTAGATAATACTGAATGAAATTAATACATAAAAAAGATAGATTAAATTTTTCCAATTTTAGATACTTTATATGGTACTTTTAAAAAAATTTATTATTCTTAAGAATTATCTCTAGGACAGATTTCTTATTCTTTAAAAATTTATTATTCTTAAGAATTATCTCTAGGACAGATTACGTAAAATTTCATTTAGTGTCGAAAAAACTGGAAGATATTTTAAAATGTGCATCGAAATGTGAAAGCAATTTCAATTAATTTAAAAATGCGATGATATTTACCTGGAACGTAAAGAAGTTGCACTGTTGATCGTCGCCATAGGAGGTGGTTGAACAGGCGGTGTAACGCTGTTGCTGGAAGAAGCTCTGCTGTATCCGGGATTGAACACTTCATGCTGTTGCTTAGCCTCGGTACCCATATCTACATAAATCCATTTTTATGTATAAGCGAATAAATAATATATCCTTGCTTATCTTACTTAAATTAGAAGAAGTAGACGTTTCTGTTATATTTAATCTAGTATCTAAAATCCTGAAACTGCACTGTGCAATTCGATAAAAGATAAATGTTTCATCTATGCTAATCTATCTAGTGATAGATAAAGCTGTGTGATTTGGGCATGACGTGCGCACATAAAGCTCGCTCTTACTTACTATGCAATGCCGGTACAGACTTGCTGCTATGGATTTGCTGAAGAGTGGCATCGTGTCCAAGCCGCGACGGTAAATCCCGCTCGCTCATGCGACGAGGACCTGTGGTAGCCCAAAGCGGGTACACAAAGAGATAGCTTTGAGTTAATGCATTGATGAACATGAAAGTGTCGAGACGCGACATTAAAATGATTACTCATGCACATACGCAAAGCATTTGTTGAGAACAAAAACGTTTTTTTCTGGGTTGTCAAAGTTTAACTTTGACAAGGTGAAAGTGACGAAAAAAGAAAATGTCATACGGTCAACTGTAAGATCTTTATAACAATGACGAGCTACACTGAGCAAGTTTGTATATGCATTATATTGTGTTTCAACAAGACTGTAAAAAAATAGTTTTCGTTGGTTGGATGTGTAGTTCATAATTTTAATAATAGAAAAATATTGCATCGGATTTTACAGAGAAGGCATTGCACACAATAAATATTAATTAATATTTATGATGTATATTAATTAATATTTAAACATATACGCTGCGTGCACGTTTACATTATGTAATTAGTTTGTTAATTAGAAATATAAAAACATGTAATTATAATATAAAAGATACTTATTTTGTCATAATTATTATGTAGTTTATAATTGAATAATTGTATCTAACATAAAACATTCTCTTTCTACGCACTTAACTACCATTATGTGCACACAATATCACAGGTGTATTGCTAAGCATATTATTTTAAACAGTATAATAAAACAAAAGAAAGTATCTTGAAAAATATATTGAAAAAAAAATTATATTAATATATCATGCTTGCATAGCAAAATATATTGTGTTATTATTGTGAAAATAATTGTGTATTTCATAATTTGCAGGATGACACTTGCAATCCATTCCATAAATAATGTATTAATCGCATTTATATTAGGTGTTGGAATTAATTCGTAGCGTTTTACAAGAGATGGGAAGTACTTTCATTAATGTATTTTTTAATGCTCATGTGAAATAAATAACATTCTTTCATTAAAAAACGCTACGAATTAATTCCAATACCTAATATAAAAAACTAATCAAATCAATTCTTATCTCGATAAAATCTTCGACTTTTCTCAGTTTTGTTTAGAGAAAAAAAATTTTTCATGTTCTTTAAATACATATGACAGAATAAAAACTATATTTACAGAATGTTTCATTTTAAGTGATATGGTCAATTATCTCGCAAATCGATGATTTTAAAAATTTTTCGAACGAAAATTGCATGGCTTGAAGGGGAACGCATGATGGAAATGTGGACTTGACCTTGAATGACCTTGCCCAAATGAGATTAAGATCATTAATGTTTTTTTAAACGGAAACTCTATTTTTTATTACACATTCTTGTAGCTTATCTCGAGAGCTTTCCAAAACATTATAATAAAGTTACTTTTCGTTGAGTATTTGTTAAGTTATAAGGCAAGACCGATTACTGATCCGGCCGATTAAGGCAAGATCGGGACTAAGGCCGATCTTGCCTTAATCGGCCGGATCAGTGATCGGTCTTGCCTTAGTTGGTCGGATCAGTCCCGATCTTGCCTTAATCAGCTGGATCAATGATCGATCTTGTCTTATAACTTAACAAGTATACTTAAGGAAAAGTAACTTTATTATAGTGTTTTGGAAAACACTTAAGATAAGCTACAAGAATATGTAATAAAAAATAGGAGTTTCCATTTAAAAAAACATTAATGACCTTGATCTAATTTTGACAAGGTTAAGTCCATCATGTGTCCCCCTTCAAGTCATGCAACTTTCGTTCGAAAAATTTTTTAATAAAATCATCGATTCGCGAGATAATCGGCTATACCACTTAAAATGAAATACACTGTATATTATTCTAAAAACTTTATAGCCTATTATTTTTAATTTTATATAATTTTATAAAGATAATTTGGTCAGAGTTTTTAATTACACCGTTTTATTAATCATGGCATAAAATAACGTACTATGAAATAAAATGAAGATGATTTACGCTAAAAAATCATTTGGTTTTGCTTTACCACTGTTTTATAAATAAGAAACAAACGCAATATATGTAAATAAATCTAATAACCGTGCGACACCGATCCGTTTGCAAATATAAATTTTTCATTCATCTCATTCAGGCGAAATGAAAGTGCTTGAAGAAAGAAAAGTTCGACTATAAAAATGAACATTTAATGTACACGTAGTGATAGCTTACGCAAAGCGGACCGGTCATCATCTTTCAGTGAGCTGATCTCGCGGAAACTCCAATTGTATCTCTCTGAATCGGACTTCCGTCTCGAAACATCAAACTTGCTCTGAGATTTCCCTTCTATTTTCAATGTTTGTTGTTCCATGTCTTTCGCTTTTTCATGTGACAATTTAAGAGAATTATCTTTGAGCCGATCGTCGCTTATCCGCTTCATGCAAAGTCTCTTTTTCAGCATCCAGTTAAATCTCTGTACGTCAGCAGATCGTTCTAAATTCATACACTTGTCTTGCTCGTGCGATTCTCTCTTAGATTTCAATTCTTCGAGCGACAAATGACGATTCCAATGTATATCTTCTTCGTCTTCGAAGTCTAATCGACGATCACCATAGAATTTGTCAAATTTTGTTTGGGTAGAGTGAACAGAAATAGAGTTCATCGAATTGTCTCGCTTCTTCAATCCCTTTTTCGATTTCAATTCTTCAAGGGAATGATGATGGTGCCATCGTACACTTCCCTTAGGATTTGAGATTAATGTATCGTAAAACTTGCAAGATGAATCTAGTTCTTTGCAGATATTTTCGAAGGATCGTGTTCGATCATTAGAATCAGATAAAAATTTATTATTTAAAATACTTTCACAGCTTTGTGTTAATTTAGAAGACTTGTCGTGAAGATTTATGGCTCTCTCAGTCTCTTTATCATAAATTGCAGCACCGATCAGATTACTTTCGCTATTACAAAGAGGTCTGGCAATTCGCATTCGCAGAACTGAACATTTATTATCACCTAATTGTGAATACACGTTTGTATGTGACATCAATGAGCTTTTCGAGGTGTCGTTGGAGCAATTCTTAGCGGCAGAAATATCTATAAACAAGCATTTGGGATATCTTTCGCAATATTGATAAATCTGTGACTTGATATTTTCCGAGGGCTGAGAACTTTTCGCAACGTTCGATAGTGACATCACGATGGAAGATGAAGGAGATGGAATGGAAGGCAGAGAAGAGAATGATGAAGAATCAGAAGTTTTCTTAATTTTTTTAAAGTTATCATCTATATCGATCAATGACAATAATTTTTCTCGAGGTGCTGTCTCTAATTGCTTTATTAAATTCAACTGAGTCAAATAATCAATAGCAGATGTTTCATTATTCTGATTTTTTTGAGAAATAGTAGAATTTTTTGACATGTCTTGCTCTGGTATAAATAAAGGCGCATCGGCGTTATCTAGATTTGAGAATTGCTCGAGTTGTTCTGCGATTACTCTCTGCTGCTCGAAGGAGAGTTTGGAACTGCTATTTTTAATGTTATCTTTTCCAGTTAACATATTTTTTTTATTTCCACCTATAAAAACGGCTTGAGATTTGCTGTCACCGGTTGCCATGTCCTCCATCTCAACAAAAGTTATATCCTTTTTGGTATTAAGAAACACTTCATCTTTGTTACTATTATGCGATATGTTTTCAACTTTTATTAAAGCTATATCCTTTTTAGTATCAAGTAAACTTTGATTTTCATCTTTGATGATATTTTTATCGTGATTTTCGCCCCTTGCTTGGATTTTATTTTCCTCAGTATCAATCGTAATTTGTTCGTTCATTGGAATCTTAGCAATTGTGACTCGTCTAGTGCCGCAATGATGAAATTTACATTTTTCAATCGCAAAATCGTCATCTGCTTCAACATCAACTAGAATGATATTGTTGTGTCTCCCATCTAAACAAAGTCGAGAATTTTCATCTCTTTCTCTTACTAAGTTCGAATCCGATTTGTATTCTTTCTGCGCATGATAAGAATGATGCAAATGTTCGTCGCTTTTATGCGACGTCATGATATTTGGCTCAGATACGAATTGGCGCGAACCATTCAACTTGGTGGACTTAAACTTGATTAAACCGGCATCGCCAAGTTTTGAGAAATGTTTCGCTAGCGCTGCGACTCTACCGCACCCTAAGCGCACTTCTTCCGGTGACTTCCAACACTTCTCTATTTTAGATTCATCACTGGACATGTCGTTGTTTAGTCCGCTCAGATCGAGATGTAACTCTGGCATTATTGTGTACATTTTAGGGGTCGAGATTCCTTCCTCGGTATCTCTGTCGGTTCTACTCGACGCACAATCATCATTAATCGTGGAACTAGATTCGTCCGCGCAATCTTCGGAATTGGACATATCCTCTAATTTGTCCTCGCATCGTTCATCAATATTCAATACATGTTTTGTTGTATCCACGTCATAAAAGCGTAAGAAATCATCTGATTTAGATTCTACAACGGAATCTGATCCAATTGTAGTGTCTTTGGTAAACAATATTGAGTTATTCACAGGAAACGAGCTAATCAATGAAAAGTTTGGATTGTTACGTGTATTTAACTCAAAACTAGTCTGCTGTCTATTACGCTCTTCATTTGTGCGTTTCTGAGAATTTTCAAGATTAAAGTTGTCACAATCAGCGTTAATACAATGCTCGCATTTGTTACTTAAGTTAGTTTGAACGCATTCAGAGGATTCTGTGAAATTAATACCGTCGGTTTGATCAATGTAGGGTATATTATCAAAAAGATTTCTATCGACAGTCAGCGGTTCCGTTAGCAGCGAATGTTTATAATTCTTTGTAACTCCTGCATACTCTCGCAATGGAGTGGTGATCCTTTCGAATAGATTTAAAGCATCTGTCGAATAATTTAAATCACTCGTCGTGGCTCCACCTTGTTCCGTGCTGTCATCTCCTTCCGCTATGATCTTATCGTCACTCTCGTCACTTTCATTTTGATATATGACAGATGATACCTCATTGTCGCTCGTGATAGAAATCAAGGGACAAGATATACGAGGTCTCGAGAGACGCACGGGAGATACGATAGGGGTGGATGGACAATAAATGTGTTCTCTGTTGTCAACGGAATAGACACTGGGATATGCACCTCTCTGACGAAAGAGCGGATCTTGTCGCATGGAACGGTACTCATCGACGTCAACTCGTGAGAAACCTCGATTGATCTGATTACGGTAAAAGGGTGTCTCAAAAATGCATTGAGATGATATCGCACCTGGTTGAACTGGCTCCTGACACGGCGCCTGCTTCGGAAAGGACAATAAGTCACCCACTGAGTGTGACGTAGCTGGCTGATTGGTCGTCTCCGTTGTCTCTACCGCTGACTCTAAGAGCTCGGACCTGGGCCGAGTCTTATATGCTGCATGAAACAAGGTTAGTCAAGCGTTAGTAAAGCGGGCTTTTTTCCAGCGAAGCAAAGCGAAAAGCATTATTTTGACAAAGCGATTATTTAGATTAAAAAATGTCCGCTGGTGATAAATCTGATCAGTATTTTATAGAAAATAAGATCTTATTGACACGTACGTTTAAAGCAAGAAAGTGATATATTTGACCGTTTGAAAAAGTTGTTTTATATATCATTAAATTAATCCAATGTGTAATAAACAATTTTCATCAAATTATTGCATCATGTATAATTTCATGATAAAATTTTTGTACAATAACTTAATATTTCTTTACTCTCTTAGACACAGTTTCACAACGCATTGTTAACTCTTAGAGATTTAACTTATTTATTCCTTATCTCTTTCTAATTCTAGAAATTGGAAAGAGATGAAAAATAAATTGAACCTTGGTTAAGAATTAACCGTGAATTGTGAAACTGAGTTTTAATAATTATACTTGCGTGGTAGAAAAAAAAGTAGAAAAACTAAACTGAACTTCTTGTAAGATGCGTACATAAATCGCGTACAGAATTATTTTCTTCACGCGCTTTATCGATTGATAAGATTTCGATTATCTTTCTTCAAAGGCTAAATTAGTTTTCAAAATTACAATATTAATTTTCGAACTTACCTCTTGACATCACCGGAGAAGGTTGAGATAATAACGTTGCAAGTCCGTGATATATAGCGCCCTGTTTCGCAACTTCCAATGTCACGATCGGACCGGTACGTACAAGATACTCAGCAGCTCTGCGAATAAATTTAATGATATAATATTTTAAACTATTAAGAAATTTAAGTTAAAATTACATACTATGTAATTATTATTAAAGCTTTTCATACTTTTCCTGCGTTATCCCGACCAAACTTTGTCCATCTACCTTGAGTAGTTGATCACCTGCCGTCAATCTACCATCCTGAAAACAAATACATAAAAATAAATTAATTGAATAATATGAAAATTTGTTTTCAGAATTCATAAAAACTTAATAAAAATTACTTTAGTGTGTGTGCGCGCGCGTGCGTGTGCATAAGTTTTGATTTCATCATATAATAATCAGGATTTTTTTAAATTTTATTTATTGTTAAAATTATGTCTTGTTTTTTTTTTAACTTTAAAGAAAGTTTTAGTTAATCTAACTATATTTAATGCAATGTAACACATTTAATTTAAAAGCGTATAATTAAAACTTGGCGCATCCTAAAAATATTATAATATGTAAAATATTATTCAATAATAATTAAATGCAGTATACATTAAATATTATCATACATTTTAAACGTGATTTTAATATCGTAAGAAATATGGTATTCCAAAATAGCAATTACTTACAGCATCTGCGGCACCACCAGCAACAACACTTTTGATGTAGATACCTAATCGATCCTGTCCTGCGCCCTAAGTATTAAAATAAGATTTAATATCATTTCATTATAATAAATAAGTATGCGTAGCTAAGAATGCACACCTTTGCTGCAACGATGCTTAAGCCCATACCGTTGGTACTCTTGTGTAATTTAATAACATGTATCTCAGGTTGTGCTTGGTTTTGATTTATGTGACTGATGTAACCACCAGATCTATTACTCATTGCGCTGGGACTACGCAACTGCAAAAAATTAAAAAAAAAATTATATATAAAAATATTCTTCTACAATTATTAAAATCTACAATTATTAAATTAGAAAGATACACACATATAAAAACAAATTATAAACGCTTACTAATTAATTTTCATATTAAAAGCTATGCAAAGATTTTCACATGTAAAAATTTGTAGTTTACATTGTTATGGTGATCTATCATGTAAATGGTCCAATAACCACTACTAGTAGGTTGGGCTGCCATTCGACATAATCCGTCTCGTTGCAGAGGTGCTAGAAATTCTGCTAATCCCGGTGGAACACCTCTTATTACTTCGCAACTGTAGCCATCCTCGGGAAGTAGCAATGCTAATCCTAGGACAGGTTCCTCTTCTAGTCTTATTTCGCGGCCGTCTGCACGCGCAAGTGTATCCGCGACACTCTCTGCTACCTATGATACATCGATTGTATGAAAAACATGAAATGGTATTTTATTTTAATGAGATATATATATATATATAAACGTAGATTATTATTAAATGTACTCACTCTCACTACGTTCTCGATCAACTCGGCAGGTAGCCTAGGCTCGTCCGCGGCCGGTTGATATTTTTGTAGTAATGCCCTCACTTGTAGAGAATTTAATTTAAAGCAGGTCGAGCTTAGCGTAGCCAGTTCCTCAGCATTGTATTTCGGAGCTTGTAATAGATGAGTCGCCTGCATGATCGTCGCCAAATGACATTGACTGGCAAGTTCCAGACCTTGTCTTTCGGCCCAGGTCTCTAATGCGTTCAGTCTCGCTTTGAGTCTGCGTCCGAACCATCTGACGCACAGATTTCCATTTGAAACGAGAGTATTGAAAGCTGTGGCATTGATCGCGTGAAACAGATGACTAAATAACTGTATCGTCAATGCGGCATTCACACGACATCGTCGTAATAAGGCCATCGTGTTTGAAAAAATCTGCAGCACTCCAGCCTCCTTCGCTGGTTCATCTGCGTCCGCCATGAACTGTGTCATTGCTGGTGTAAGCTCTAATGTGATGCAGCGCACTAACGAGCCGAAAGCCGTATGTACTGCTTCTGCCAAGATATCTTGCGCTCGCGTAGAAAATGCACCCACATGCCGGTCACTTTTCAACATATGTAATAGCTCCGAGCCATTTGCTAGCCAAAACGCCAGTGACGAAGCGTCCATGTAACGTTCCTGAAAACATAATTTTCTTTAAGATTTTTCATATATATTTTCATATATATTCATTAGGTATTATTCTTATATTATATAGAGACTATTCGTATATGTCATTATATAAATAATCATTTGTGTAACATAATCACACTTTTAGATTATATCTAAACTAAGACACTTTTTTAAATATATTCACTGAAATAATTCAAAGATATTTCAACATTTACATGGACCATCTTAAAAAATCAGTTATAGTTAAAAAATACGTTGCTTGAAAGGACAAAATTATTCACATAGAAATACCTGGATAACGCGTTGTATCATAGTAGCAACATTCGCCAACATGACGGTAAGTCGGTGCGCTCTTTCTGTAGGCTGCAATTCTGGTCTGTAATGAGTACTGGCGCGATATCTGGCGCTGAGATAGAGGGTGTATGTTGGCGCCAACTTGAACTGTGGCGCCGAGGGTTCTATATCGGTGATGACAGCGTGAAGGAATGTCTCCTCTGTCTCCTCGAGAAACTCTAAGACAGCTGGCAGAATTGGATCGGTGCCTCGCGGTTGTCGATCGTATTGCGAGAGCCTGCTAATAACCAATAGGCATTAATTTCTTTTCTCGTAATCTATTTAAACTTTCAAATCTTCTTTTTCAAAAGTCAATATCAACATTTCCAACAAAAAATAATTTAACGATGTACATTCATACAATATTATATTTTCCCTAATTATGAATAATTCTACATATACATTTATAATATTGTAAGAAAATATTGACAGTGTACATTCTACAATGCAATAATATATTCTAAAAGAATGCTTAATAATGCATAATAATTGTGCAGTCAATAAATACTTAGCTAAATTGACAAGCCATAAATGTAAAGTGATCAAATTAAAGAATTAAAAAAAAAATAAGCTTATACAAATCGAGAAAATAACTAAGTTAAATCAAGCATAAATAATTTTAAATATTTCATAAGAAATGCACAGAATGTTTTGAAGAATGTTGAATTTTACACTGTAATTGCTCGCGATAAAGATTTTGTGATAAAGATCTTTGCATCAAGCCTTTCATTTTAAGTACAATTTTAATATATGTTAATAATTTCTAGCTGTAAGTATCTTTTTTCAATGTAAGTTAAGCTTCACAACAACTCGTCATAGAATCATCATTAATTGACTACGACGCGAAGATTTATTTCTATTTGTTTATTACGCTTGAAGACTAGAAAATAGCCGAAACGTACGTTTTATATATGTATACCTTATTATATGACTAAATGCCAAACATGAATTTTTAAACATTGATTGAATAGCTTTTTGTATTAATATGTACTAATTACAGCGCCAATTCGTAGTAACCCTAATTTTCTCATTTTAAATTGTTTTGAAACATAAGAAATTCAAATTATTTTTAAATTGTTAATAATTGTTCCCCGGTTTGCTACCTGTTGCCATCTCTGCTGCTGCTTAGACTAGCGGTCTCCACGTTTCCATCCAGGTCGAATGTGGTCTCATAATTGTGCGTGGGCTCCGGCGGGTGCGTGGGACTACGAGGACTACGAACTGCTGCAACAGCAGACTTCGAGGGACTTGATGGGGTCGCTCGCTCTTGAGCTTGACCCGGGATCTGACCACCGCCGTTCGGTGCTCCAGACCCCGGATGAAACTTCTCTGAGCTGACATCCTGACTGGTCGCGTCCGGCGAGCGTCTATCATTACGTGTGCAAAGCGAGCATCACAACAGGAAAAGCAAACGTAAAGCATATCAAGCGAAATAAATTCAAAAAGTGAAAAAAGTATAAAAATTCGTGGAAAAATACGTTTCGATTCTTTAAGATTCAGCCGAAGGTACGGAAGATTTTTAATAAAATGTGATAATCATAATTAATGTAGAATGCTCTTTTAATCTTTTCTCTTTCTTCTTATTTAATAAAAATATTTATACTGTGCTTCTCAATTTATAAATTTTAACAAGTATTCCAAATTTTATTACAAGTATTCCATACTTTCAAAGACAAAGCATTAATAATTCAGGTAAAATTATTAGAAATCTACATATGTATAAGATTTAATGCAATACAGCAACAAGAGTATCTAATAATTATAATAACATAAACTATTGTAAATGTATTCACATTGCAATGCAAAAAGGAACTTGTACCGACTAAATTGCAACGAACGTGCAACATTCGCGCATCATGTCTATTCTCTGATTGCAATGACGAGAGAAAGGAGAATGCAAACTTACTTATGAGTCACTTACCGATCATA